CTGCCGTGAGCCGCTTTCCTCCCCAGCACGCTCTCCCGAAGCGTGCCTCTGGCCCCACTCGTGGGAGAGCAGCGTGCGCAACTGGCAGCCCAGAGGTCCTGTATGAACCAGCTGCGACTGAAGGGCTCCTCTGGCTTCAGAAACGCGACGACGTCGTCAGTGACCTCACGGCGATGTCCAACAAGTTCGATGGCGCATCGGGCATTTGCGAATCGATCAAGAAGCTAAAGTCGGACATGGAGACCGAGAAGGCTGACGTGGACAGCTTGCAGCAGTCGCCAGATGACGTGCTCAAGCTCGCGGACAAGCTGAGAGATGATATTAGGAAGGCCATCGGCACCGCCAGCAGTTCTAAGAAGGACACGTTTCAAGTCGAGGTCGAACGGTGCGCTGACTTGAAGCAGCAACTCGTTGATTTCCGCCCCGTTTTCAACGAGCTGTCGCAGACGTGCCAGCACCTCTTGGCCAGGAAGCGCAGTCAGAAGCGCTCGGACTACATGACTGCGCACGGCCAGAACCAGAGGCTGCAGAAAGAGTTTCATAGCGGTGGCTTCAACAAGAACTTCGCCAAGTACATGGCGAAACACGTCAATCATATTGAGATGGCCCTCGCCACGGAGGACACGCAGTTCGACGTGAGGCCATTTGGTGTGTTTATGAACAGCGACCTGACTCCGGACAGCTTCAACATGTCTGCGATTGCTATCTGGGAGGGTTCGCATCAGTTTGCGCAAGACATTGCCAAGCATCTTGACGTCGAGGCCGTGAACAGCAAGGCCGCCAGCGTCAGGAAGCATTGCGATGATAATCCAGTTTGGCAAGGAGCCCTCGGCATGGCCGAGGGCGTGTTCATGAAGGACGTGCTGGCGAAGATGATCGGTGACAACATCGACGACTCCGAGGGCTCGGAGGTCTGGGTCTTCGCCAACCGCAGGGGCTGTCTGCGCGAGTCGCCGCAGGCGATTCCGCTACCAGGTGGGCTTCGGGATAAACCCAAAGGTGAGTTCGCAAATGCATTGAGCCAACACGAAGTGATGGTTTGCTTGAGGAAGGGATGTGTAGGGAGGCTGGAGAGGAGGAGGAGGGCGGAGGAGGAGGATCAATCCGCTGGGGGGAACACGAGCTTCAGCCATTTCCTCCGAGTTATCTCAACCCCTCCCTTCCTACACCCTCTGATGTCTGTCCGTCGCCCCCTCCCCGATGCCCTCCTCAAGCCGCACCCCTCAATTATCCTTCCCGTCCTCTTCTACAGTCTACTCTTCTAGTTTTCTCAACCTCCTCACTTCCTCGTTCCTGCCCCCGCCGTCCTTCCTGTCTCGCCGTCCCCTCCAGTCACCTCCTGACCGTTCTCAGTTTTTGTTGGTTGGTAGAGCATTTGCGAGCGTGCGAACCCCTTGGGCTTTTCCAGGGGTCGCGTCCGTCTTCTATAGCATGACCTCAACGGTGTATTTCATGCTGATGCCCATCGAAACTTTCTTGAGCAAGGGGATCGTTTGGTCAGAACTCATGTCCCATCTCGAGACGAGCGACGACCAGCAATTCCTCAAGACTAAATGCTCACTGCGCCGCGTGGAAAAGAGGTCCGTCATATACGTGCCCAAGGGTTTTGCTGCAGTGGTTCTGTACGCCCACACTTCCGAGCAGCCAGCCCCTCCACCAATGAAAAGGCCTCGCAAATCGACGACTCCAGCGACGCAGCCTGACGCTGCAGACATCGCCATCTTGCGTGGGGCCCCGATCTATGAGACCCAGGATCCCAAGCACGCCATCCACGCACAGGTGACTGCTGCAGTTTTCCAGTTTAACGATGCTGTCTTCCAGCAGAAGAAGGGCACGCCGCGCTGGGACAAGCGCGCCGAGCTCTCCTCAAAATACTTTAAGCCTGAGGCCTAAGTTGAGCCAGCATTTCAGGTCAGCTTCGCACGACTGTGCACTAGGTTACGGAGGGAGTATGGTGGGAGGGAAGAACAACAGAAAGCAAACACGTCGTTCGTTCCTGTGCACTATCCATATGCTCCATATTGAATGCCGCGCCTGTGGCCCGAGAGGCAGTTCGAAGGCCTGGACTGGCACGGGCGACAGGTTCCGATGAGAATCATCGGCTTGGCGAGCGCAGCTCAGAAAAACAACATTCACAAACGAATGCCGCTTCTCGACCAAGCATATGTCATGTTATGTCCTTCTCTCTTATGCTATAGCTGCGTGGCTGTGAGGGTAATCTTGAGAAACATGCGCACATCCTCACGCCCCTCGAGGCGACCTCGCCGTTCCCTTGTTCTTCGCAGACGCGCGTGGGTGACCGCGCGCTTAGCGGGGGACGCGGGAGCAGGCGATGCCACCTTGGAGGGTGATGGGGAGTTGCTTCACTCTGGTCGGATCCCTCACCGCCGAAGCCGTGAGAGAGGGTGAGTTCGCGGGCCCCACCGCCCCGTTTGTTCTGCAACTGCGTTGTTGTAACTCCTGGGTTTAAGCGTGTTTCGGGCCCCCCACCATATCCACCAAGCTTCCGCCGCATTCCGCCGAACAGGGGCCTTTCTTGTTATACTATGACGGCTGACGCCGCACTCCGCCTTCGACGGACGCGCACTCAGACATATAGAAGGATCCGTTTCGGGTCCAGTGAACTGTTGTGGCCGCGACGTCCGCGCGCGAGTTTATGTAAATGGGGCGGCATAGATCCCCTGCAAGCTAGATGCCCATGTTCCCCCATGTGGGCTCGTTGTGCGCGTGCGCACAAGGTTGCACCAATAGCTACACTACACCTGCACGCGTGTTGCACTGGCGTGCTTGGCAGGGCGTATACACATACGCTTGCACATATAATCATACGGAGCTGATCAGGAACCGCTGATCATGCGATGTGAAGTTTCCCAAGGGACTCCAGGGTTGACGTGAGAGTTCTCTGACAGGTGGCGACCTGCCCCTGCAGTTGCCTCAAGGCCCCCTGGACTTACACCCTGCAAACATTCGGGGTGGCGGAGAGTGAGGCCTCACCACCTCGCAGCGTCATGCTCTTAGAGTTTAGCCGCACAGTGACGCCCTTGAGCAGGATATCAAGCTCATGATGCAGCTGCATCTCAGATTTTTTTGGTCGGCGCCCCCGCCGGCTGACTTGTCCGTGTCTGCCAGTGGGTGATCACGCAGCAGGTCGATGGTGGTTTTCACCGTCGTCTGGATATCCTTGCCCCCGTCCTCGGACTCGGCCCTTCAGGCTTTCTCCTGCGAGGAGGTGAAGCAGCAGTCCTCGGTGTCATTATTCGCCTCGGTCTTTTCCTTGTTCGACTCCGCCCAGGCCTCTGAGCCGACGATCTAGGCCTGATGGCACATGAGACTCAGACGCCCGCTGCCACTTACAAGACACCAAGCAGTGTCTGACTTGGGATGAAACCCTCCACAGATCCCCGCAAGCGTGGCCAACTGATCGGCCAAGACAGCGGCAAAGGCCCACTGACCGAGCGGGCGTGTTCGGTTGTAGACACTGCGCGGTGTTTCGTCCTGTGGCGCTGCGGCGTCTGGCGTCATCTTCGCAACCACGCTCTGGAAGACGCCCGCCCGTACATAGGAGCACGTCCTGCAGCTCGTGGAACCTCCCACGGACGGCGTCCAACTCTGAATGATTCTGTCGCCTTCTGATTCCGACTGCCCGGTTCCAATGTCGAAGTGTTGCGCGACGCAGATGGTCAGTTGGCCCCGCCGCCTGCTGCTGGCAGCCCCCCTCTGCAGAGTCCATTTCGATCCGATCGGTCCATTTCGATATCGGTTTTCGCCAGCCCGATCCAATTCGATTCCTATGCTCCAAAGTTCCGAAGGCCGGTTTTTGCACGGCGTTCTTGTGCATCCTGGCGCAGCCAATCCGATTCGATTGCGATCGCGCGCCAATCCAGACCGATCCCACACCGTCTCCAAGATCTGCTGATCGCTGCCTTGAACGGCCTCGCCGCCCTCCAAGGGCACGGCTGGTTCTGCTGTGCCAGCGCGCGTGGACGTCATTGGCAACTCTTCGTCCACGGGCTCGGTGGAGATGTTGCGGTCGGCGGTCGCGGTGAGCAACTCGACGATGTCTCGTTGCAGCGCAACGTCTGGGGGGGCCGAAGAGTTGCGAGCATTCGATGTTCGCGGCAGCCGACTTGCCGTTTTGACTCAGTCAGGACCACGCCCCCTGCGGATGCGCTTCGCCTCCGTCGCTGGCACGCTTGGTTTCGCGGCCTGGTGCAGCACCAAATGTCACGAGCAGGCGCGCAAAGTCACAGAGGGGTTCGGTTGGCCGCGGATGGGCTGCAGGTCTTCGCGTTGCCGGTCTTTGCATTTGCTGTTTTCGCCGCTAGGTGCACCACCGAGCATTGCTACATCAACGGCGCGGCGCACAGCAAACTTGCGTTGCCCAGCAACATGACAAGAGCTTCGATCAAGAGAACACTCCCCTTTGGGGGCGAGCATGTTCTATGTGTGGCATGGTCTGCATCGGACCTCACTGTGCTCTGCGGGAGCCGTTGCCTGCCGCTCAAATCAGCCGCATGGCCTGCGCCGGCATAGCCACGGACCATCAGGTCCTACCCCTGTCCATGGTCTCCTTGTCCTCATCTTCCCAGCGTGCTTCTCTGGTTCAGATTCCTCTTCCTCTCTCAAATATTGCCCCCCATCCTCGCGCCTCTCCCCCTGGCACCCATTGTCATTATCCTCCTCCTCCGCCGTAACCACTTGGGCCCAAGACTATGGTTCCCTGGCGGACCAGGTGGGCGCCGCTAGTCCGCGGCTGGCAAGTCTTTTGAGACTGGCACTCTGTCTCGTCGCCTTCACGGGTGGATCTGGGCGCCACCAACTAGCTGTTTCGCATCGGACGAATCCCCGCATGTCGAGCCCCAATGGCTCGCCCCTGGCCAAGCGGTCGGCGCCCCCCGCAGGCGGCGGCTTCAAGACGGGCAGGGAGGCCAAGGGATAGGGCCGCAAGCGCGCTCCTACTGCTTGCGCCGGTGCTCGGCGGTCTGACGCCAGCGACGAAGATGAAGGCTTCGTGGCCTCCGGAGGGCCTGGGCGAGTTCACCAAGGAGCACATCTCCGCAGAATGCGCGCGCTGCCTGGCCGAGAAGCTCGGCGCCATCCAGTCTTAGCTGGACTGCGCGGTTGGCTCGGCTGTCTCCAAGACGACGGCGCCGATCGAGCAGAGTGCCAAGATAAGCGCAGAGAGGAGTTCGATGCCCTCCCCCAAAAGTTGGACAGGACCACCCCCAACGTGGCCAACCGCGATCGGCGGCAAGAATCCGAACGCGCCCATCAAGCTCGACTCGGGTTTCGAGAGGAACGTCGACACTACGACCATCAAGGCCGACGCGGGCAAGGTGGCGGCAAAGGCCGCAGCGGTCGAGGCTGTCGCGCCGTGGCTCGAGGAGGCGGGCTTCGCGGGCGATTGGTGGGGCACCGAGTCCCGCGACCCTCTGTCTCGCTTCTTCACGATTGAGGTCAATGGGGGTGTGGGTCTGGCTTCGCGCAGGGTCGCCAAGGCTCTCTCGCTTCTCCGCGGGGAGCATGGGTGGCGACAACTGGATGTATCATCGCATGGCACAGGTGGCCCAACTAAACTGCACATTGGCGCTGGCTAAAATCCCTGACATATCAAGATGGAAACACTGGACCACAAGGTCCGACAGCTTCTGCTCGAGATGATCAGTGACCAGCATCGCCTGTTCTTCGACCGCGAGAGAGGTTTGGCGTCGATCGGCCGGGGCCCGCTGCTCAAATTGGACCCGCGGGGGGGCCGTCATCCCACGGTGACCATGTAGAACCAGACGACGACGCACAAGCGCGGTCTCGCGACAGATGTCCTCGCCGGCGCGATTGCGTCCGCAGTCGAACCTGAGCTGAGCCGCAGCGGTGTCCTTGGCCGCTCCCGCTCGCTGCTTGCGACCTCCATTCTCCCCTGTTCCAAGGTTGCAAGCCAGCTGAGGGACTGCGATTTAATTCATGGAATTGCCGGGCTTTGCTGCAGTATGAGGGGGCTCATGCCGCAGCCAAGCTGGGACACTTGAGGCGCCTGTGTCCAGGCTCTTCCGCCACGGCCCCCTCGGAGGAACATCCAGGAATCCAGAGGCCCGCCAATTTCGGATATTCTTCAGAAGGCCCCCCCTGGAGCACTCGTCTTCTCGAGCTTCTGCGGCGGGGGGCGCGCTGGGCGCATGCGCCGCGGGGCGGCCGCGATCTTGCCAGGCGCGCAAAATGCCTGTCTCTCCCGCCTCTTCCTCCTGGCGCGTCTGCCTCCTCCTCCGAATGTGTGCCTGGCCGGGTTCCGTGCGGTCGGTTTGCAAATTATCATACGGTGTTGATTCACTGGAATGTCCATAACCATGAACTGACTCGCGAGCAGATTCGGGGCGCGTGCAGTGCGATCTCCCAAGATGGATCCAGGTCCAGGGCCTTCCCCGAATCCTGTCTAGCGACTTTGCATTGTGATTTTACATCGCCGAAGAGGAAAACTGACGCTAGCGCAGCCATCTGCTGCTCAGCGGATTGCCCGACTGCTGCATGCCCATGCGCCTCCATGGACACATGCACACACACACACACACACTCGGTTCACCGGTTGAGATTACATGTTTGGCTGCCACCCGCTACGATGCACGTGCTTATGCGGTCGCTGCTATAGATCGGCGCTGGTGCTCGTGGCCTGGCTGGGTCGCCGCGCAGCTCGCGACGATGGCCAAAGTTGAGGGGATCCCACAGGAGGTCTTTCGGATGCGCGCAAGTGATCATGCCGCTCATGTAGTCGTCTTCCGCCAGCGCAGCCCCCCTGATATGGCTGATCGCCCCCGCCCAAACAAGCCGAAGGAGTTCATAATGATTCTAGAGCGGTTCTTGGAGGCGGAGGAGGAGGCGATGATGAAAATGCCCCCTTCCAAGAGAACAGACTGGAGCGCTACACATACTTGACGGTTGAAGCCAGTAGGGAAGCTCGAGACTTGTTTCTTTTTCGAAGGCCAGATGGTTCGCGCACCTTGCTCTTGGTGGCCAGCTCCATATCGCGAACAGTATGGCGTGAAGATGCACAGGCCGCTTCTCGCCCGCGTGAGTCTCACCCTGCTGCTGCTGATTTCCTCGAGGTGAATGGCTCGAAGGTGGGGCTAGTGGACGCGGCACCTTTCCAGGTGTGGCGCAATAGGCAGCAGCTCAAATCCTTCGAACAGGACAAAGCGGAGATACGCGCTCTCATGAGCGACCAGGGAGGCGGTGGAAATTGAGGAGGCAAGCTTGGCAATCGCATTCGGGCTATGGAGCATCGTGCTAAGATCTGGGCCCCCTGCGCTCGTCGGCTGGTTCTTCGCAACGTTTAGGTTGATGGCTCGCCCGCTTCTGGGCCTGATGGGAAGCGCAAGGAGGCGAGTCGGCATTGGGGGGGGAGGTATTCGAGAGGAAGCAATGGAATCGAAATGCTGCTGAAGCTTGCTCGTCGAGATTTACATCACCTGTCGATTTCACCAGCTGCCCGTCGCCGTGCCAGGGTGCGGCAGATTTGCGATAGGCTATGCTATGCCGCTTGGTCTGCAACCCCTTTCGGAGTGGAGCTCCTCCACGACGCGATGCTGCGTCTGTTCCAAGGGGTGGCGCCTTTCGCCCGCGAGAGCCTCATTCTGCAAGCCTCCTTGCCGGAATGGGAGCAGGAGTGGGGCGCGCCGACAGGGGGGTGCGATCGGGATGCCAGCTCGGTCGGGGTCCTGGGCCTGCGCAACACGTGTTCCAAGGTGATCACTGCAGCGGTGAGCAGATCGATTCAGAAACCACTGGCTGTGTTTGCGCCGTCATCTCGGCGGGGTTTTACGCGAGACCGTAACTATGGTTTGAATACTGTAGAGGTGGACGCAGTGCCCCGAGACTACTCGAGCACGCCAGGAGCAAATCACGATTGCCGGTTTATGTTTGCTCCCGACTACGGCGCCGCCTTCCCTAGCTTATCGCAAGAATACCTCATGCTCGTGCTGCGACGGATGGGCTGCCCGCGTGCATTACTATACTTTGCCGAGCTGTTTCGCTCGTTTATTGAGGGGGTGATTTCAAGCAGAGGCTCTCTTTTACGCGCATGCTGGATCCGATTGGGGATTATTCAAGGAGATGCTCCCTCAGGGTCGCTTTTTCGATGTTGCTCTCACGCCCTGCATGCAGGACTTGTTCATAAGTGTTGAGGCCCCTAAGAAAAGAATTTGGCCGTGCGTGTGCGGATGGCATTGGTGGCGTTTTAAAGCAGTTGGCGACCTCGAGGACCCTGGCCCGCATCATGAAGCCAAACGAACTTGTTGCGCACCTCCGGCTAAAACCCACTAAGTGTTGTTCGGTACCAGTTGCTGCTAGGCTCTCCGAAAGCACCGGGCAGAGGGTTCGCCGTTATCTTAATATGGGTGTGCCTCAGTGGCAAGGATTTAATGTGGATGGGGAATTATTCTACTTGGGGGTGCGGGTGGGGGCCAGAGGTTTGGGCAATGGATTCTTGGGGAGCACCATGCGCCAAATACCAAGAGCGCTCGAGATCCATAGGCCGTGGCGTGCAAGCCGCTTCACAGTCGAGTATACTGTATCAGACGAGGTGCCTTCTCGCCCTCAGCCTTGCAGTGCAGTATGTACCGCCGCCCAGGCATGTGATTGACGTTGAGCATGGAACGCTAGCATCTGCGTTTCGCGTGCCCTTGTGCGCGTTCAGTGCCAAAGCATGGTTTGCCCTTCGTGAATGGGGAGGTCCGAAAGTGTCACCGCTGTCGTTCCAATGTATACCGGCTGCTGCGAGAATGGTTGTAGACGTTGTGCTTGAATGTGTGCGTATCTACAGATGGCTGGAGATTTTTTTCTGGGTCTGAAGCTAATCGTGATCATTGCTGCCTTGCTGTACTGCAGCAGGGGAGAAGATACCCGAACCACTGGTCTTCATATGCGCACGCTGAATATATGATGTGGGCTATAGGGGGGGAGAGGGTGAGCTTCACCGCGCCGCTGCTGTCGCTGCTGCAGCTACCACGATCCAAACCCCGCGGCAAAAAGTACAGAGAGCGGCATGTTTCAGCATGCTCTGAGTTGTGGCCGGAATATTGTCTGGAGGTAGTAATGAGAGGCAGGCTACTGAAGTGGTGGCCTGATCGTCGTGAAGCGATTGCCGCCATCAATTTCGAGAAGATCAAAAGAGTCTTGCGACAAGTGCCTCCGTCCTGGTCTTGGCGTGGCTGAGGACAGCTGCGGGGGAATAGTTGACGTCGTATCGTATTATGAGTGCGAGGGGTAGGGGATTGTGCACTCCCGATTGTGAAAACTGTATTGATCGCCAGTTACACCGCGCCACGTGTCTTAGACTCGCCTGGTCTGTCTCGCTCGTGCTCAGATGTCGAAGTGTCGCCTGGGACCCATTGGATCGTGGGGGGGTTAAGCGCTGCACCGTCGAGGTTCTTGAAGAGAGAGAGACAGAGAGCGAGAAATATATATATATATATATATATATACATATATATATATATATATATGTATAGCCACGCATGCGCATCACACTCTTAGCCCCCCCTGAGAAGACACAGATCCCAGTCACTAACGAAATGGTGGTTGGGGCTGCTCTCGGGGACCTAAGGCTGAATCGGCCCGAGGCTGGGGTTGAGGAAGGCTAGGTGGATCCGCTCCCCTCTTCTACGCTGTGTTCCTCTTCCTCCTGACGTACGTTTCTTGCTCTTCCTCGTCCACCTCCTCCTCCTCCTCCTCGGCTGTCCTCTTCCCTCCCCCAGCCTCCTCGGTTGTCCCTTGGAGGCCAAGGGCCTGGGTCGGCCAGCCGGCTGCCGCAGCATCTGGCAGCGCTCGGCGCTTGCTTTCCCCGGCGAGGCACGACGAAGAAAGCGCGAGGCGCGGGAGAGCGAAGTGGAGGCGATCGGGGGCGCCCAACAGGTGGGTGATTGACAGGGGGGGGGGTAATTACCATGGCGGGGGCCATGATATTTCCTCAGTGATGACTGGGGGGGGAGGATACCATGGCGGGGGCCACGACACCTCCTCAGATTTCACGGCGCGTCGTCTTATTTCAGTGAAGGCGCCCCTGCCCCCCCTTCCGGGCCGCGCACGTGCCGTTGGCCATCATCAGCACACATGCCCATTCTTGGACGCCCCTCTCTTGGACGCCCCCGGAGGAGAGAATCGGCGGCGCGCCCGGGAGGGGGAAGGCAGACGGGGTGGGACTGCTCAGAAGGCCCGGAAGGCCCCCAGCATCCTTGTGGAGCTGTTCTGGGAAAAAAGAATCGGGGACGGAAAAGAGGGGGGTGATGACTAGGGGGGGGGATATCATAGCGGGGGCCATGATATCTCCCCAGATTTCGTGGCGCCTCTTCTTATTTCATTACGTCCCTGGCCCCCCCGCGGGGCCGCGCACATGCCGCCGGTCATGATTTGCACCCCCCCTCTTGGACACCCCCCTCTTGGCCGCTCCCGAGGGACAACAAAAAAAGAAATATAAAAACTTTGAGGTCCGCGAGGGTTTCTCGGATCCGTGCTGGACCCCCCTGGCGGCGCCCCCGGCGCCGCCCCTGGCGCGCTCCGCGCGAATCCAAGAGGTCCGCGCGGACGTCCGAGTTTTTATGTTTATGTCATTTGTCATTCCCTGTTTCTGAGCCTTACCCTCGAGAGAGAGAGAGAGAGACGGCTTCTCGGAAGGCCGCTGGGCTGGAGGCCTCTGAGAGGCCCCGCGGCCTTCTGAGAAGCCCCGCCCCCTTCTCACTGCCCCCCTTCGGCGCGCCGCCGCAAGAAGGGGTCGAAACAGTAGCGCGGGGGAGAGGGGAAGATGAGAGGGGAGATGGGCAGGAGGCATTCGGAGAGTTGAGGAGGTCGTGGCAAGTGGAGGCCTCCTCGTCGTCGTCCTCTTCCCTGGCCGCCCTCCCACATCATGCCAATCCCAAGTCCTCTTACGACCACGGCCAGACCGAGGTATAAGATCGAGGTCGGCTCGGGGAGGGTACCCTACTGTTCTTCGTGTTTGTTGGATGATATTGTGTATCATGGGGGAGGGTACCCTGGAATGTTCTTCAGTTTGGCTGGCGAAGGGACTCCATGTGTTTGAAAGATGTTGTTCTGTCCTAGGTCCGGCCGTACTGGTACCACTACCACTACGACCCTCCGCATTCGCACACCACTCGGCGTTTATGATTGCCGCTGTTGCTACAACGACTACTCGTGAGCAAATTGCCAACCATCCTCGTCCTCAAGCCTCCTCCTATCCAACCCTGCTCCTCGTTATTTTTCTTGCGCAGGCTGCTGAGCGCTCCCGAGCGCCCGTAGCGTCAGTGGGACGGCTTCGCGCGGCCGCCAAGCGAGAAATGTACCTCACATGAGGTAGTCGTACCACGACCCTGGCGAAATGATCCCCAGGGAGTCCAGGGCCACAGCAGAGCGCCAAGCCGACCAGGGTCGAGAACTCCAGAAAGGCCAGTGCGGAGAAAGGTGAAGGGGCACGTGGAGGGGGCGAATACCTCCTCCTCCTCCTCCTCCTCCTCCTCCTCTGCTCCTCCTTCTCCTTCTTCTCTTCTGCTCCTCCTCCTCCTCCTCCTCCTCCGCCTCCTCCTCCCCCTCGGCGGGGGCGGTGCCAGAAAAGCCAGTGCGGATGAAGGTGAATGAGCACGGGAAACAATATGCACTGCAGCAACAGGCGGCATTCCTCGTTCTCGACCTCCTCCTATCCCTCCTCCCTCTCCTGCCGCAGGCCGATCCTGACAGCGTGTTCTTCCCCGACCGCTTGAGGAGCATCGTGATGTCCGCGGAGTATAACATGGTCAACGAGCCGGGCAGCAGGCCCCGCCTGCAGGTGCAGGTAGAAGGGGGCGAGCGGCAACGTGGCAGCGACAGGCTTCAGGCAGTGACGAAGCGTCCTGGCGTGCCGATACGCCCACCAAACAATGTTCTAGGAACCTTGTGTGGTTTCCACGAAATGTTCTCAGAATATTTCTGGCTGGGACTGTTTTGTTTTAGCGCATCGGATTTACGTTCTAAGAACATTATTTGGTTGTTCTAACATTTTTGGCTTCTAAGAACATGTCGTGGTAGGCTTATAGGAATGCCAGGACGGAAAGTCCCTGCTCAAAGGACGCGACGGAGGAGGAACACACAAGGATTCAATGGCCACGAGCATTGCGGGATCCGGATGGATGGCGAGGTATTCTCCGAGAAGGGTTTTTTGCCCAGGAAGGTCCGTAGGTATGGTTTGAAAGTCGCAGCGCAGCCAGAAGAGTGCCGCGAGGGGTCGATGGGCTGTTGCGAAGCATCGTGGAGCTGCCTCACGAATCAACAGCAATTCTTTGTTCAAGGGCCCCGAGGACTTTCCCATGTGATCAGATCACGACCGCCAGTGATTCTTGTTGGGCCCACCCCAGCAGTCTCCATCTGGGGGCGTGGATGGATGACCCTGGCTTCGTTACCAGGTGGTTACCTAACCAGCCACTGATGCACTAGCATGCCATAAAGGTATACAGTAGTGCTGTTGGTATTACGACCGTCTGCTGACACTTCGACAAGGAGTCAATCGGTTATTTCCCATGTCCTTTTCCTGTCCCAGCATGGCAGATAACACATGTGTATTGTTACCTCTTGCCGGTGTTCGATGTATTCCTTCGGCGCACCGTCCTCTTCTCGCTTGTAGTGCCTTCAGCATTTTTAGCCAGCGCGGACCCACAAAAGCAATGTCGTGCAATCTACGCGGTGCAATCTAGGCAGTGCAAACGCGATGCTGCAATCTAGGTGGCGCAATGTATGTGGTGCATCCTATGTGGTGGGAAGCAGCGCAGCGCAATTCAAAGCATATCAAAGCAATGCAATGCAACGCAAGGCAATGAAAAGCAGTGCCATGCGATGCAAAGCCACGCAATGCAACGCAAACTAACGCAAGTCAATACAAAGCAATGCAGCGCAATGCAAAGTAGCGCCATGCAATGCGATTGCAATTCGATGCGATTGCAAAGCATTGCGACGCACTTCGAGTCAATGCGATTGCAACCCGATGGGACTGCAGCGCGCTGAAGTGCGTTCACAAAGCAACGCGATCGCAGTGCAACGCAGTGCGAACGCAAAAACAACGCGAGCGCAATGCAATGCAGCGCAATGTCAAGCAATCCAGTTCAATACTACCCATCGGTCGTTTAAAGTAGGTAGTTTTGGATTCCCAGATTACAATCTACTTTCAGCGCCTTCCTACTTCAAGAGTCGAGTGGTTTTCCCTCTTCCTTCCTCTTCAGGAGGCGGGCGGAAACCCAATCTATTTCCAACGCCTTCCTACTTCATGTTTCTGCCTACTCCTTCCGTCCGATGGGTATTGCAGTGCAATGCGATTGGAGTGCACTGCAATGCGATTGCAGAGCCATGCGGTTGCAATGCAACTGGGTGGGTGCCGCGCGCGTCGGCGGACGACGGGGGCGGGAACCGGGCCTGCCAGGGGGCGGCGCACGGAGCTCGCATTTGGGACACATCGTGCGGCGACGGACGAGAACGGGGCCGCCGGGGCGGCAAACAGGCCCAGTTCCCATTGCTTGAGGCAAATCAATCGTTATACGACGACTACTAGTCATGGTTCGTTCCATTACGGCTGCTTCGACTACGTCCGATGCGATTCATCCTTCCGTTGGTGATGCGATGCGTCGGGAGCCTCGAGACGGGGGTCAATGCAAACGGGGGTCAGCCAGGGCACCAGATCCTGCAGGATCCTGCGAAGGCCCCCTCTGGCTGACCCGGGTTAGCGAGCCGCTCGTGGCCGCGGGGCGGCCTCGCGTACTGGCTGACCCGGGTTTGCGAAGACCTGCGATGCATTTTTTCCCTGCATTTCAGTTTTTGGTTTCCTGCTGACCCGGGTCTGGATTGACCCGGGTCAGAGGATCCCCGAAGTTCCCATGGCTTGAGGCAAAACCAATAGTTATACGACGACTACTAGTCATGGCTTGTTCCATTACGGCTACTTCGACTACGTCCGATGCGACCCATCTTTCCATCAGTGATGCAACGGTGATTTTAAATACTGATGCTGCGGATGTGCCTCTCATGCGTCTTTCGCATTCTCTCCCTATTACTGCCTATGGCCTTGCCCCACTTCGCTTGCTGTTACTTGTGCTAGGTCCGAGTTAGCTTTATATTTATATATATATAGATGTATGTATGATTGCCATTGGTATTCCGAATCCTTCTCATCCCATTCGCCACCTCACTATTCACTGTCGTTTCTATTCTCGTTCACCTCTTCCCGCTTGCGGCACTCATGCTGTGCCTCCTTCTCTCCCCCGCTAGCGCTACTATTTCCAGTGTTGCTGCTATTGCTTTTGTCACTGCATATACGCGACGAGCGCTAGAATGTTTGATGCGGCTACTTCTGTACCATCAATAGGTTCACCACCGCTGCAACTCTTGCCTCCTCGCCTTCTTCTGGCCAGCACCAATCTAGAAACAGCATTAGCGTTGCACGTATCACGGTTACTACGACTGTGCCACTACTGCCAACATCAGTACGACTACGAGTACCACTACCACGACTACTACGACTACGACTACGACTACTTTTACTACTACTACTACTACTACTACTACTACTACTACTACTACTACTACTACTACTACTACTACTACTACTACTGCGACTACTACTACTACTACTACTACTACTACTACTACTACTACTACTGTTACTGTTACCGCTACTACTCCTCTACTTGTACCATTACTACGCCTAGTGCTACCATTTCCACTACCATTACTATTACTACTACTACGACTACGGCTACAACTACTACTACTATTACTGCTGCGAATACGACTACTCCTATTCTGTTAAAGCCACGTTCCTTCACTATCGGTTGCAGCAAGGGTACGGGAGGACGAGGATGGTCGAGGAGGAGGACGAGGATGATGAGGAGGATGTAGTCTGTGATGTTCCTAGCGTTTTCAGGATTCATAACACGTTTTCCCTTACTTTCCTCCACCTCCTCAGACTCCTCAACCCTCCGCCCCCTCGGCCCCCTCGTTCTCTCCCTAGGCCTCCTCGTCCTCGCCCTCGTCCTCGGCCCTCCTCCTCGTCCTGCTCCTCCTCCTAATCGTCCTCCTCGCCGTTCTCCGTTTTCTCTTCCTCCCCCTCGCTTGCTGGCTGGTCCCCACCGCTCGCCTCGTCCTTGGGTCCTGGGCCCCTCCCCTCGCCTCGCGCGTCGCCCGCCGCCGCCGCGCTTGGCGGCTCGAGCGGCCAGCCGCCCGCGGCTGGCCGCCCGCGCCGCGCGCGCGCCGCGGCCGCCGCGGCGCCGCGGCCCGCCGCCGCCGCCGCGACCGCAGGCTCGCGAGGGGATGGGGGAGAAGGACGGGAAGGGCGAACGGAAGGGTCGAGAGACGGAAGGGTCGAGGGGGGGGGGTCGAGGGGAGGGTCGAGGGAAGGGCATGGGGGATGGGGGAGGGCCGAGGGGAGGAAGAAGAGGAGGACAGTTCAGGACTGGGACTGCCCCTTATTTTATCCTGTCCTATCCTCCACCTGTCCTCCTACCCTATCCTATCCAATCTTATCTTATCCAATCCGATCCTACCCTATCCAATCCGATCCTGTCAGATTCTGTCTCCTCCTGCCCTCCTCCTATCCGACCCTGGGGCCTACCCTACCATATCATCTGGCATCCGATCCTATCAGATCCGATTCCCATGTTGTCCTATCCTATCCTATCCCATCCTACCCTATCCTAGCATATCCGATCTTACCCTGCAGTACCCTATACTACCCTATTCCCCCGCCCATCCGATCCTACCATAGCCTATCCGATCATATCATAATATGTCCTATCATCCCCCGATCCTGCCATACCCTATATTACCAGGTCCTATCATACCCGATCATTTCCCATCATATATTCTCATGTCATGCTATGTGCTATAATGTCATAGTGTAGCATCCTCCTGCGCTATCCTATCATATCCGATTCGATCCCCATCCTATCCGATCCTATCCTACCCGGCCTACCCTATCCAATAACATACTAGCCTACCCTGCCCTGTACTGTCATATCCTCCTTTTAGCCTGTCCTATCCCATCCCATCCCCTACCATATCCTATCCTGCCCTACCCGATCCTACCCTATCCTATCCTATCCTATCGTAGCCGATCCCATCCTATCAGATCTTCCTTCTCGTCGCCTCCCCTATCCTATCATCCCCCTCGTCGCCTATCCTATCCTGTCCTGTCCTGTCCCAGATGGGCGCCGTCCCATCCTATCCTGCCATCCTGTCCGACCTCCTCCTCCGCGTCGCCTCGTCGCCCTCCTCTTCCTCCTCCTCCTCCTCCTCCTCCTCCTCCTCCGCCTCCTCCTCCCGCGGGCCGCGAGGCTGGCCCCGCGCTGCGCTTCGCCGCGCCGCATCTTCATCAAGGCGCGGCGCGGCGGCCGCGGCGCCCGCAACGGAGGAGTGAGGAGGGACGATGGGGAATGTGAACGGGGGGACGGGAAGGAACGGGAATGGGGGGTGGTGGAACGGGGGAGGGAGAGGAAGGGCGGCGGGGAACGGGAATTACGGTGGGGGCGGTCGTTAAAGAATGTGCCCAAGAGGCTGCAGGCCGCCACGATTGGAATTCCACATGCTTCCAGACCCTGGATTCCTTATCCAAGGGTTCCGTGCCCTTGCGTTTGCAGGCGCTGTGTTGAACACAGCGCCTGTGAACATCAAAGCGCTTGTGAGCACAGTGTGTTCACAAGTGCTTTGCTTTGATGTTCACAGTGCACAGGCGCCGTGGGGTTCACGGCGGTGATATCGGCGGCCGACCCGCCACGATTGGAATTCCACTTAGACCA